GGGCGTCCTGCGGCCTCCTGAAGCTCTCTGGGGCCTCCTGGGGCTCCCAGGGTCCCAAGGGGGGATACCTAACATGTGGTCTTCTGGGCCCCCAGGCTGGACCACCTCTTGCGCGGCATCTCAGAGTTCAGAGTTGGGAGAATGTCTTGTGCGAAACGGGCCGGATCACCTCTTGCCCACGGCATCTCAGAGCTCAGAATTGCGAGGATGTCTCAGGCGAGACGGGCCAGACCATCTCGCGCAGGGCATCTCGAAGCCCAGAGCTGCGAGGATGTCTCCAGCGTAACGGGCTGGACCACCTCGCGCGCGGCATCTCGGACCCCAGAGTTGCGACGATGTCTCGGGCGAAACGTGCTGCGAGGAAGTCTCAAGCGAAACGGGCCGGACCACCTCGAGCGCGGCGCCTCAGAGCTCCGAGTTGCGGGGGCCTCCTGGGGCCTCCTGGGGCCTCCTGGGGCTTCCTCCTGGGCCTCCTGTGGCCTCCTGGACCCCTCCTGGGGTTTCCTGAAGCCTGTTGGGGCTCCCGGGGGGGGATACGTAACATGTGGCCGTCGGAGCCCCCCAAAATGGGCCTCAAAAGCAGGAAAAAACAAGGAATCGACACCGGATGTGTATTAACTTGACACGTTCTGATAGGGAGGCCTCCTAGGGCCTCCTGGGAGCCTCCTGGGAATCTCCTGGGGGCCCCATGGGGCCTGTCCCGGGCGTCCTGCGGCCTCCTGAAGCTCTCTGGGGCCTCCTGGGGCTCCCAGGGTCCCAAGGGGGATACCTAACATGTGCTTCTGGGCCCCCAGGCTGGACCACTTCTTGCGCGGCATCTCAGAGTTCAGAATTGGGAGAAGGTCTTGTGCGAAACGGGCCGGGCCACCTTGCGCACGGCATCTCAGAGCTCAGAATTGCGAGGATGTCTCAGGCGAGACGGGCCGGACCACCTCGCGCAGGGCATCTCAGAGCTCAGAGTTCGGAGGATGTCTTAGGCGAAACGGGCTGGACCACGTCGCGCGCGGCATCTCCGAGGTCAGAGTTGCGAGGATGTCTCAGGCGAAATGGGCTGGACCACCTCTTGCGCGGCAGCTCAAAATTCAGAGTTTCGAGGATGTCTCTGGCGAAACGGGCCAGACCACATAGCGTGCGGCATCTCGGATGCCCACAGTTTCGAAGATGTCTCGGACGAAACGGGCCAGACCACCTCTCGCGCGGCATCTCGGACTGCAAAAGTGCAAGGACGTCTCAAGTGAAACGGGCCGGACCACCTCTTGGGCAGCATTTCGGGGCTCAGAAGTTGAAAAATGTTGAAAGATGTCTCAAGCGAAACGGGCCAGACCACCTCTCGCGCGGCATCAGAAAGCGCAGAATTGCGAGGATGTCTGAAGCAAAACGGGCCGGACCACCTCGCGCACGGCATATCAGAGCTCAAGAGTCTCGAAAATGTCTTATGCGAAACGGGCCGGACCACCTCTTGCACGGCATCTCGGAGCCCAGAATTTCGAGGATGTCTCAGGCGAAATGGGCTGGACAACCTCTCGCGCGGCATCTCAAAATTCAGAGTTGCGAGGATGCCTCAAGCGAAACGCAACGGACCACCTCGCGCACGGCATCTCAAGGTTCAGAGTTTCGAGGATGTCTCAGGCGATACGGGCCGATCCACCTCTCTCGCAGCATTTCAGAGCTCAGACCTTGGAGGATGTCTCAAGCGAAACGGGCCGGACCACCTCTCGCGCGGCATCTGGGAGCTCAGAGTTTCGAAGATGTCTCAGGCGCAACGGGCCGAACCACCTCTCGCGCGGCATCTGGAACCTCAGAGTTTGGAGGGTGTCTCACGCGAAACGCCCAATACCGGACAAGTCAGAAACGAGAGTTGCGAGACAGGCCAGAACCACCAAATTTTTCCGAGGGCGTCTCTGCTTTGAATTTCCTGGGCCGGGGTTAGATTCTATCACATCAGCACCCCGTTCAGCAAGCTATTTGGGGAAAAAAACACACACACACACACACACACACACACACACACACACACAACAACAACAACAACAACAACAACAACAACAACAACAACAACAACAACAACAACAAACAACAACAACAACAACAACAAAAAAAAAAAAAAAAAAAAAAAACGGGCCCAGCACTTGCGGTCGCGGCGTCGCCCCCCCGCCCCCGGACCCGGCCCCCCGTTTCCCCCGTTGCATGTATACGCATGCGGATACACCGTTGTACACATGTATATATGAAAACATTACAGATATGTGTGGCCGTGGTCGCAAGTTGTCCTTCTCTCCCTCTCTCTCCCTCTCTCTCTCTCTCTCTCTCTCTCCCTCTCTCTCTCTTTCTCTCTCTCTCTCCCTCTCTCTCTCTCTCTCTTTCTCTCTCTACTCTCTTACTCTCTCTCTCTCTCTCTCTCTCGCTCTCTCTCTCTCTCTCTCTCTCTCTCTATCTCTCTCGCTCTCGCTCTCGCTCTCTCTCTCTCTCTCTCTCTCTCTCTCTCTTTCTCTCTCTCTCTCTCTCTCATTCTCTCTCTCTCTCTCTGTCTCTCTCTCTCTCTCTCTCTCTCATTCTCTCTACCGGCTTATCTATAGCATTCGGGCTTACTTCATCTACTTCCCATCCCCCAATATGCGAAATTTTTCTCAAACGGAGACGACGTCGGCGTCGCCGCCCAAGACATCACCTGCGTAGCTCACCACGGTCGACCAGGTTGACGACGCTGCTGCCGCCGCGGCCAACGACACCGTCTCCGTCGCCGTCACCGTTGCCCGTTGCCGAGTCCGTCATCGGCGCTCTCTATCATTGTCGACACCGCCGCCTTCGCCGCCGCCCCGACAACTGCGGTCTCCGTCGCCGCGGTCGTCGCCACCGTCGCTGGCGGCGTCATCGCCGCCGACGCCGGCGCCGTCGCCGCGGACGTCATGGCCGCCCCCTCCGACGTCGACGTCGCCGTCGCCGCGGCTGTCGCCGCTGGCCTCGTCGTCGTCGTCGTCGACGCCGCCGTCGGCGTCGCAGGAGTTGACGACAGCGCAGACGTCGGCGATGGCGAGGCCATGGTTTTGCAGGCACGCGCAGACAGCGCGATCGGGGCCACGCCAGCGCACGCATGCGCGAAGACTCAACTCAAAGGACTCAGAATCCGCTCGCCAGCCCCTTCTTCTTCACCACGGCTGCGCATGCCTTTCTGAAGCTCTTGGCAGATTTCGACGCCAGAGTCTGCGCTTTCTTGGACCGGCAGACGGCGCGCACCCTCTCCTTGTAGGCCATTTTCCCCAAGGGCGCCTTCTGGGCCATCGCGTCCTTTAAATCCATCTAGCGGAGCGTCTTCTTCAGCAAGCCCCAGAACCGCTCCACGGGATTCAAGTCGGGAGAGCGGGATGGGATGTGGCACAACTTCACTTAGGCGGCCTTGTGTTCCTTGGCGGCGTCGCCTGTGCTCATGAATCCCTCGTTGTCACAGAGCACGTGCCAAGGGCCATCGCGGAGGGCGGGGTTCAACTTCTTGATGGCGCCAGTCAACTTCCCTGACCTCACAGCTGCTGCCACCTCAGAACTGCGTCGACCGCCACCTACACGCTGTAGAAAGCGGCCTGCGTGAGAAGCACCTTCACCAGCGCGCGCCTCCTGGTCTGAGGCGCGCCCGTCGTCATGCCGACCAGGTGGCGCCGCGCGAAGGGCGCAGGTCTGGGTCTTGAGCCAAGATGGGCACTGACATTGGCAATGCAATGATATGCGTTACTCCGAAAGCCTCATCGAAACAAACTCAACGGCAAGCCGTCCTGCCAACGCTGGCCATGCGCATGCAATGCAACGCAATGCAGCACCACATAAGGTAAACGCAACGCTGCACGTCATACAACAAATACACAGAAGCCCACTGCAAGCGAATGCAATGTAATGGAAACGGCGGTGGGGGAGAAATACAAGACAATGCAACGCGCTGCAAAAGCTGTCTGGAGTCAAATGACAAGGCACATCATCTGCATGGCAAGGTACATCATCAGCGTGCTCCGCCGTTACTGAAGTGTGTGAGCATTCTCGCAAATCCCAAGGCCAGACCTGCGGCCAACGCGCCCTCGGGCAAAACTGAACGACGGACATATGCGCATGCAAATCTGAAGCCGCTAACCCTCGTAAAACACAGGCGGAGTAAGTTTCGGAGGACGCGGAGTATGTTTTCTTCAGCTAAAACACAACGCGGAGTAAATTCAACAAGAACGCGGAGTAAGTTAATCCACGTCAAAAAACGTGCGGAGTAAGTTTGTACACCGACCTAAATCTATAATACTGAGAAGAAACGGTGTGGGCGGGATCCGAAACCTACTCCGCGACAGGCGGATGCCATCTTGTAGGATTATACGGGGGGAGGGGGATCCGTCGACGAAATGGTCAAAACTTTGGTAACGGCTTTGTATCAAATATATATATATATATATATATATACTATCTTCTCTGCCAACTATGCTCTCTTCTCTCTGATATGTCATATCAACTCTCTATCACGTACTCTACAACTCTGACCCTGGCCGCTAGAACCTGGAGAACTGGGAACCAGGGAACCTTCCCGAGCCAGGAACCGGAGCCCCGACCCCGAGAGCCCGGGAACCTGGCCGCCCACCGAAATCGGCCGGCCTAGAACCCGGAACCAGGAACCCAAGAACCCGTAACCAGGAACCTGGGAACCCAGCCGCCCACCGAAATCGGCCCAGCACCTTCACTTCCAATATCCATCAAGACCCTTGAATGAAAGCACTGTTGGGAATATGTTGCAAAGACCGCTCAAGCCGCCCAAACAGGCTTGCTCTAGTACTGGCTCCAAAAACCAGCTGCAGAACTTAGGTAGAACATCCATTGCCCCAGTGATCAATGAAGTGGCCGCTGGAAGGCATCGAGCCTCCATACAACAACAGGAATTCACCAGGTCGCTGTTCGGTCTCTCTAGAAGCGAGCGGCTGACAAAATCACGGATCTGTAGATAAGCTGACCGCTGATGGCATCGCAACGAAGTCAATACCTCAGGCACGAGCTGATGATGCTACTGATACTGCGGGCTGAATGGGGCGCGACGGGCTGATCGGGATGCGAGGACTGTCACACTCATCACTGTTCAGGCGACCTTGCTTGAGCACCTCCTCCCAATGCTGGCGCGTGACCTGCGCAGAGAGGCTTCTGTAGAGGCATGGGGAGGGGTCAGCAGTTACAGTGGCAAAGCTGGGGCCTGATTCGTTCTTCTTGGCCAACTCTGCTTGCAGGGCAGAGGCGTCTAAGCCCGTTGATATCTGAGACAATATGTCGCGAACGTTTTCCAAATTGTCACTCATGCTCAAGACGTTGTGCATGATCCACTCGCACTGGTACTGCAACTTCATGATGTCCAGTGTCCTTGCTTCCCCCTTCAACCGGAAACACCCCAGTAAAAACTCATCTGTGCTGACGTATCCCTTCCTGTCGCGGTCCAGCAGTAAGAATAGCGTGCGCACGTCCATGATCTCGAGCTCCAGCGCGTGGAATGAACTTACCAAACGATCATCGCCAGTTGCGATGGCTTCCTGCATGCCCTCAAGCGTTAGACTGCCATGGCCAGCTGTATCTAATTCACAAAACAGCTCGTGCAAGGCCCTGATGAAGAAGGCTTTCTGCTCTGATTCCGCCTGGATCTGGGCGTGGCTGTCATTTTGTGCCCAATTGTTGGCGATCTCGACAAATCCGCAACAGTGCCTTCGGCACGGCGGGAGCTATTAGGATGCATGTTCGGTGTCTGGTCGGGTTCCGTTGTTTCCAGGATCACCCCCCCCCCCTTATCCGCGACCAACCAACAAAAAAACAAGATTCCTCTCCATGGCACGTGTCGACTAGATACCAAGAAAAAGCCCCCAAGAGGCGCTCAAAGAGGCCTCCAACGAGACCCGACGAGGTCAAAAACGATGAAACACAAATGACAGTTCGACGTGTTTCTCTTCCGAAGTTCTTCAGCTTCTGATCGCCTCGGGCAAGCTTCTGGGAGCCCTGAGAAGCCCCAAGAATGGACGAAGCCAGCTCAAAGGAGGCCCCCAGACGGCCCCGAAGACGGCCTGAGAATCCCCAGAGCGTCCCAAGACAGCCCAGGATGGTTCCAAGCTGGCCCCGAGACCTGCCCAGGCGGCCCCGTTATGACCCAGCCGGATCTATTCGGGAGAGCTCGGTAGAACCCTCGCGCCTAAGACGCCCGCCCGCACCAAGAGTCCCTGCAGAAGGCCCCAAGAGGCCTCCGAGAAGCCCCCCCCAAAGGAGACCCTGAAGAGCCGACGGCCCCACGAGGATTCCACCGGGGCTGCCCAGGAGAGCTCCGCAGAGTCAGTGCGCCCAAGATATACCCCCCCCCGCCCACACGCAAGAGTCCCCGCAGAAGGCCCCAAGAGGCCTCCAAGAGGCTCCAAGAAAGCCCGCCGAGAAACCCTGCAGAGCCTCCAACTGCATCGCACGACCATGCAACGTCACGGCTACGCCCGAAACTCGGCCGCCTCCTCCTCCCTCCTCTGCTCCGCCCATCGTCCTCCCTTCGCATGTCAGAAAGGAGGGAGGGATGGGAGGGAGGGAGGGAGATAGGGAGGGAGGGAGGGAGGGAGGGAGATAGGGAGGGAGGGAGATAGGGAGGGAGGGAGGGAGGGAGGGCTCCTCCTGGCGTTCCCGTGCACGCCCACTCTGAAGGCTCTGGTTGGCGCACCCCCTACCCCCTGGGAATGGGCACCTGCTAGCGGCGTGCCTTTCTTGGGATGTGAGAGGTTCACCAGCTCCAATGCAGAGCGCACCAGCCAGCCGGACACGCGGCTGCGCAGGGAGGGAGGGATGGAGGGAGGGAGGGAAGCAGGAAGGAGGGAGGGAAGGAGGGAGGGGGAGAAAGAGGAGGAGAAGAGGAACGAGGAGAGAGGGCGGGAAGGTAACAGGAGGTGGTGGAGTCAAGACCCGTTCCAGTTCAGACTGGGCGCTGCGCTGGATCCGAATCACCCCTGGTGCGCTGCCGCGCTAGCACGGCTGCGGGGTCTGCCATAGGCAGCTGGATCCGCCACCGCGCTTGCAGCGATTGGTTTATGCCTGGCCATTGTCAACGTACTTTGGTGACGCTGCTTGCAAAAAGATATTGGTGGGGGCGACGGCGAGTCAAGCATGCGCCTCTCCTTTGAACAAACAAGTCCCTGGGCCCTCTGCTTTCGAAACAGAAGACGATGCCAAAATGTACAAACTTTCGAGTGAACGTTCTGTGGAATATGAACGCCCCAGCGCTTCCCTCAACCACCGAGCCCTCTCCCCCTCCCCAAGATACCCCGCCCGAGCTTGATACTCAGCCAGAGTTCACTAGCCTGGTAATGTCATCACCACCTAACACCCGATTTGCACATCAAAAAACAGGAGTACTCAACAAGAACCTGACACCTGGTTAGTGCACCCAGGTGAATTGCTTCTCAACGAGCGGGATGGCAGAATCTCGCGTCAGCGCAAGCGGCTATGCCGGTGACCACATTTGCGGCACCGAAGATCGCAAACAACACGAAGAACAGAAACACGCACTGGAACGGGAACGCCAGAGGCGACAGCGTGTCGAAGAGCTCCCCCCAGTTGATGCCGCCGGACATCGCTTCGAAGAGCGACAGTGCACAGCGCTCCAGGGTGCCAAAGTACTGGAGCATGTCCGAGCTGGACGCATCGTCCCACGAGTTCGTCTTCTGCAGGTGGTCGATCACGCCCTGGGTCAAGCAGAGCCCGAACACGTAGAACATGCCGGACAGCACCAGCGAGGCCCACAGCAGGGGCTTCAGCGAGAACATGATGGACCGGATCATTATCCGCAGCTGGGTGAAGAATTTCAGCTGCCTGAAAGACGAGGGTTTTGCAGCGAGCCCTCGCCTAGGCTTCCAGGAAAGAGCAAGTCCAGCAAGAGATAGCAACAAAACATCATATAACGAATCAAACCCTCAGTCCAGATGGCTGGCACGCCATCTCATGGTGGGACCATGTGACAGAGTGTAGGACCCCATTGAAAGAAAACCCTATCGGCTGAGACACGCTCAGGCAGGACCCCACGGGAAAGAACTGCGGAAGGGGACCCTATGGAGTGGGACCACGATATGGAGTAGCACCGCGGGAATCCATCGACAACGTCCGAACTCGGCACCCCAAGTCAATTCATTCAAAGATTTTCGAAGAGGCCCCCGCGACTAATGGGTTGGAGGCCTCTAGGACGAGGCCCCCCAACGCCCCCAAACGAAAGAGGCCCCCGCAAAGAGGGCCCTCAGAAAGCTCCAGAGAGACGCAACACTTCGTTCTTGATGGCTTTGCTCATGGTCATTACGTATCCTGCTCCACCCGCTCATCTTCATCATCCTTCTTCTTATTACCTATCTACTCATCATGGACCTCGTATTCATCCCCTTATCCAGAGGGGGGAGGATGAGAGAGAAGCAGGGAAGGGGCAATAGGGTCAGGGGAAGAAGAGGGGGGGGAATGAGGACGGGGGAATTCAGTTGAATTGGCGATGGCTCACACGGCATTTGTGCTGACTGGCTCACGAGCAGAAGGCAGGGCGTGGGGGCGAAGGCGCCAGCTGTGAAAGTTTAGATCGACACCCGCTCGCGCAGACCCCATGTGGAGAGCGTTCTGCATTAGCTCGTGGGTAAACGGATGGGCTGCTGATGTGGTTGGGTGAGCCGCCGTCGCCGTGTGGAGCTGAAAAGTTTGGAAGCTGGGCGAGGGCTGGCAGATCCGTGGCTGCTAAAACGGCCTTCCCAGAAGAAAAAGACAAGCTCCCAGAATCAAGCTCAGCGCACTGAATGGTAAACGGGCTGCTTCCTGGAAGAAAAAAACAAAAATCCCGGAGCTCCGGGGGAGGAGGAGGAGGAGGAGGAGGAGGAGGAGGAGGAGGAGGAGGAGGAGGAGAGGAGGAGGAGAGCAGGAGGAGAGGAGGAGGAGGAGGAGGAGGGGGGAGGAGGAGGGGGAGGAGGAGGGGGAGGGGAGGAGAGAGGGAGGAGGAGGAGGAGGAGGAGGGAGGGAGGAGGAGGAGGAGGAGGGAGAGGAGGAGGGGAGGAGGAGGAGGAGGAGGAGGAGGAGGAGAGGGAGGAGGAGGAGGAGGAGGAGGAGGAGGAGGAAGAGGAAAAGGAGGAGGAGGAGGAGCCTTCGCCCGGTTCCTGAAAAGTGGCCGAGGAGGATTTTCAACACGGGCCCCACGCCTGGCCTGCAAGTGGGCGAGGGCCACTCCGCACCGCCGTGGTCGCTCGCGCGGTGGCAGCGTGCACCAAAACCGGGCCCAACCCTGAACGGCCCTGAGAGGTATGGGACGCACAGAGACATACTAATGCTATATGTCCTCCTCGGAGGCGCGCGTCCGACGCGAACATATCGGAGGTTGGGGGGTGCGATCGCGGTGGAGCGGAGACCCCCAACCGGGAAATCGTTTCGTTTCGCTCGTGTCGTGCGCGCGGGCGAGGCGGAGCTGCGTGGGCGCCGCCGTGGCCAGGGCGAAATCAAGACAAATGATCCTCCCCCGCCCCCCGTCCGTGCGTTGGCTCGCGGTGTCCCGCGGTGTCCCGTGGTGTCCCGTGGTGTCCCGTGGTGTCCGCCGTTGCTAGGGCGAAGTCAAGACCAATGATTCTCCCCCGCCCGCCCGTCCGTGCGTCCGTCCGGCGGTGGCTCGCGGTGTCCCGCGGTGTCCCGTGGTGTCCCGTGGTGTCCCGTTGAGTGAGATCGATAGTGAGATCGATACTGAGATCGATACTGCGATCGATGTGGTGCCCCGAGGTGTCCCGTGGTGTACCAGATCGATAGTGAGATCGATAATGAGATCGACATGTGTCCCGTGGTGTCCCGTGGTGTCCCGTGGTGTCCCGTGGTGTCCTCTCGAATGAGATCGTTAGTGAGATCGATAATGAGATCGATACTGAGATCGATGTGGTGCCCCGAGGTGTCCCGTGGTGTCCCAAAAAAAGAGATCGATTGTGAGATCGATAGTGAGATCGACAGGTAACCCGTAGTGTCCCGTGGTGTCGCGTGGTGCCCCAAAAAGTGAGATCGATAGTGAGATCGATAGTGAGATCGATACTGAGATCGATGTGGTGCCCCGAGGTGTCCCGTGGTGTCCCGTGATGTCCCAAAAAGTGAGATCGATAATGAGATCGATAATGAGATCGACAGGTGTCCCGTAGTGTCCCGTGGTGTCCCCTCGAGTGAGATCGAGAGTGAGATCGATAGTGAGATCGATACTGAGATCGATGTGGTGTCCCGAGGTGTCCCATGGTGTCCCGTGGTGTCCTATGGTGTCCCGTTGAATGAGACCGATAGTGAGACCGATAGTTAGATCGAGAGGTGTCCCGCGGTGTCCCGTGGTGTCCCGTGGTGGCCCGTGGTGGCCCGTGGTGTCCCGTTGAGTGAATACGATAGTGAGATCGATAGTGAGATCGACAAATGTCCCGTGGTGTCCCGTGGTGCCCCGTGGTGTCCCGTGGTGTCCCGTTGAGTGAGTTCGATAGTGAGATCGATTGAGTCAGATGTTGGTTCCCTCCCCTTTCCCCCCCCACACACAACCTCCTTATCACCCGAAGGGTGGTCGTATAAGTCGTATACCCATCTTGTAGTACATCGTTTCCCGAGCGGTGTGGCCAGAAAGCGCCCACCACGACGCATATACTATAAGATTTCTCGGTGTGCGCGTCGCCCCTGGGGTGGCGACGCACACATAGTATTAGTATGTCGGGGTGACGCCGAGGGTATGCTGTTCAACCCACCATGTGTGTTTGCCAGCGGCACTTCCACTGATGAGGCAAACCATGGACATTGGCAGCGCATGTTGCAGTGTTGCAGTGTCGCCCGTTGAAAAGATGTTACAGAAAGTGTTGGTCTGAATCGCAGCGCGTGTGTTCTGAGCCAGGGAACGCGCCAGCGCCGTACGGACAGGCAACGTTGAGCACACCAGCTGGTGTTGGCGGAGAGTACACGCGTACCCCGTGTAGCCAGCCAGCCGTGTCCTCCGTGTGGAAAGGCTGCACCGATGATCTTCAGCCCAGCCAGTCGGCAAAACATTCAGCCAGAAGAAAAGGGGCAGCCTCTGCTACCCGTCTGTTGAGAGGCGTCTAGCTCGTGCGTAAAGCAATGCTGACTGAGGGTGGATGCAGCCCTTGTCGGATCGAAGTGGGCCTCGGCGCAGTCTGGGCATTGCAAGCGTGTCATCTGGCTGGTTGACGATTACGTCAGGGTGGTGGCTGCCTAATGAGATCTGTCCGCTGGCAGAGCCGAATGTTGAAGAGTGTAGCCGGCCAAGTGCCATGTCCGAAGAGAGAGAAGGAGAGTGTGAGAGAGAGCAGACGCCGTGCACGTCACAGGCACATGGGCTGGAAAAGTGGCGCCGACGCGACAGCAGCCGAGCGCTGTGAAAAAAACTCGAGCACCCAAGCGACACTCAAGGGCAGGGAGTGTCTTAAAAATCGTCCTTGCGCACCCCACTCGCATGGAGCACCCCCTCCCCCTCAAGGTGGACCAGGGAGAGCAACGGAGGGGGCAGAGGAGGGGACGACACCACGGAACCAGGACGACCCCAGAGCCTGGAGAGGGAGGGAGGGCAAGCGACAGGGATGATAACCGAGAGGCGGGAAGGGAGCGAAAGACCATGCGACAGCACGGGAACGAGCAGAAGGGAGGAGGAGGAGGAGGAGGAGGAGGAGAATATGAGGAGGAGGAGGAGGGGGGAAGAGGGGGGAAGAGGAGGAGGAGATTTCAGCGATTTCGCATTTCGCACGTTGCGAGGTGCGCGGCTGCGACCCCGCCGCCGCCGCGCGCGCCGCCCTCTCCGCGGCGGCCTGCACTCTCCAGGTCGCCGCCCTGGGGCCCACCTCCTCTCCACTCGCGTCGCGCGGAGGCGCGTGGAGCAATGCTGGCGAGCGTGTCCTTCGCGGCGCACGCGATCCGCCCCCGAGATCCTCGGCACCTCGCGCGGCGCCCTCGGGGCGCGAGCCCCGAGCACCCCGCGCGGCATGCCTTCCAAGGGTGTCGGCAGCAACGTAGCCCACGTCCGTGTTCTCGCCCTGCTTTGTGGTGTGGTTATGCTGCTCGTCGTGGTGGTCGCTGTTGTGCTTCTGGCCGTCGTGCACTTCTGGCCTTCTTCCACGCTGCAGCTGGTTCTCGTGGCTGTGTTGAAATTGTATTGTCGGCTGATTTTGGTGGTGGCTGCCGTGGTCTACTTCTTTACCGCTGGCTGCGGCTAGGAGGCGCTGCGTCCAGCGTCTTCGACGGTCTTCTGCACCCTCTGCCATGTCGGTCGTCCGTTGTTCGTTGGCCTCGTGCTTGCGTGGATTGTCTGGTCGCTTCTGTCGTCGTTGATCTGCGCGGTTGTCCGCGTGCCGCGTCGGCGGCGCCCCGCTCGTCGGCATGGCTCCGCGATCATTGACTACGGCGACTTGCGCACTGGAGGTCGCCGCCCTGAGGCCCACCTCCTCTCCATTCGCGTCTTGTGGAGGCGATTGGAGCGAGGGCGACGAGCGCGTCCTTCGCGGTGCTCTCATTCCGCCCCCGAGATCCTCCGCACCCCGCGCGGCGCCCTCAGGGCGCGTGCCCCGAGCAACCCGCGCGGCATGCCTTCCAAGGGCGTCGGCAGCAACGCAGCCAAAGTCCGCGTTCTCATCATGCTTGGTGATGTGGCGCTGCTGCTCGTCGTGCTGGCAATTTTGTTCTGCTGGCCGACGCGCACTTCTCGCTTTCTTTCACGCGGCAGCTGGTGCTTGTCGGTTACGTGGTGCTGGTTGCGTGCTTGTTTGTGGTGGATGTCGTTGAGCGGCTGCACTTCTTGCTTGTCTGCTCCCCCGCTGGCGGCGGCGAGGAGGCGCTGCGTCCAGCTTCTTCGTCTCTCTTCTGCGCTCTCTGTCGTCTCGGCCTTCTGGTTGTTGCGGTTGTGTTGCTGGTCGCTGTCGCTTGGTTGCTCGCGAGGTCGGCGACCTATGTATATGCTCGCACCTTGCGTCGGCGGTGTCTCGCTCTCTTCTTGGGCTGCATGCTCGGTGTCTTACACGGTTTGTGGTTCGCCTTGCCGCTGGGCCGTGGCGTCGGCGTGTGTTATCGCGTCGTCTCCGTCCGCCTGTGCGATATCGCTCCACTTCCTCAATTTGTGCTGTAAGCTCCCGTATGTCGGCGCGCCTTTGCATTCCGCTTGCATTTTCTGAGATACGTGTTCCGTCGCCGTCGTGCCACATGTCTGGCAGCACCATCTTTTCTCTTCGCTAAGGTACTGCAGTCGGTGCGTCGGGCGCGCTGCGTTGCCGCGCATCTGCAGGTCTGTCCCATGTCTGGGCGGTGGTCCTCCGCATCCCTCCTGGAACCAGGTCGCGATGCTCGCGAGTGCAATAGTCGCTCCCACGCTTTGTTGGCAGTGACTACACTTCCAGCCCTTCCCGCACCGCAGACGTCGTAGTTGGTGCGTCGTGGGCGATCGGCGTCCGACAGGTGCGGGTGGTCCGTGGGCGAAGTAGTCGGCTGTCTTTCTCTGCTGGGCTCTTTCTGCGCGCTTCTGCGTTCGTCTCTGTGCTTTGGTGTCGCGATCTTCGGCAGGCCGTCTCTCCAGGAGTAGCTGCGTCGCTGTCGCAATCCGCTGAGGAGGAGGAGGAGGGGGAGGAGGAGGAGGAGGAGGGGGGGAGGAGGAGGAGGATGAGGAGGAGACTGAATGACTGACTGACATCCCAGGGCGAATGAAGGCACGAGTAGTCTGACTTCTACCTTGGGATTCGCTGGGCGGCCTGCCTGAGCGGCTGCAACTTTGCTACACACTGGCACCGGTGGAGAAACACTCGGGCCCCCTTGCAACCCAGACGGTTTGAGCACAGGGCGCAAGGGTGGCGGCCCACGCGATTGTCACACCAGAGAGATGAGGAACGACCAGCACCTTACCCTATGACGCAGGGCCCCCCACGGCGTCCTACATCACAGGGCTAAGGGCGAGGCATCCCCGAACCTCTCCCTTGCTCGAGGGGGCGATTTTGTCTCCCCATACCTTCACCTTTGGCCCGCCCCTTAGGACGCGGCTGAATTTTTGCGGTCGGGATGAAACGGCCCCGGGGGCCCTCCAGAGCGGATTCGGAGAGGGAGGAGGTGAAAGAGGCGAGCACAGCTTCTCTACTCACAAAGCCTCCGGAGACCAACTCATTCAGTCGCTGACTGTCTGCAAGGCCCCTCATCCTCCTCATTTCGGCCTCGCCTAGTTGGGCTCCAGCTTGTTCAAGAGCGCTCGCGCGCCCCTCTCTAGAAGCCCCACGCGGGGCTGCTCCGATCAGAATCTCACCCGCGTGCCTGACGATCTCCGAGCGAACGGTGCCTTCGAGCTGGCGTGCGATGTCCGTGGTCGACAGAGCCCACTGCAGCAGCACCTTGCCCCCCATGCGCTTGGACTTCTTCTTGGCCTCTTTTCCCTGCGGCACGCGCACCCTGAAGTGCTTGATAACTGTCGCTGCGCCCTTGAGCTCGTATTTCATGATGCGCCCCCTCCAGTACTGCGTCAGCGTGACCCTCGCTTGGCCTTCCTCGGTACTCGCGAGGAGTGCCCTTATGAAATCCTTCCAAACGTGAAGATGCGGACTGCCCAGCTGCGCTGTGTCCGTCTGCTCGTCCTCCTTGGCCTTCTCTTTGAGATCCATCGCCGCCTTGCGATAGAGCTTGCCCGCCTGGATGGCCTCCTCGACGCACGGAACCGCCGTCGGGACAATCGCTGTGACGAAGACCACGCTGATGACTGACTTGAGATCTCCTGCCATGATGAGCACCAGCTTTGCGAGGATGAGCACGATGTGCTGTACGGCTTGTGATTTGGTGGCGCCTTTGCCTGCCGCTCCTTTGGCTAGCTCCACGAGCTCGTCTGGATCTGCCTTTTTGTGTTATGAGGCGCTGGCTTCTCCCGCGGGGCGCTTGCCCTTCGGTAGTCGCCACCCCGCTTGCCCGATGCCCAGCTCCTTCATCCACGACGGGGCATCGCTGTCATGCTCTATGTCGTCGGCCACATGGAACAATATTGCCAACAGTAGCAGACGCTCGTATATCAGGAAGAAAAGGTAGATGGCGAGCGAGATGATCTCGGAGCTCGAGCCAAGAACCTGCTACGAAGTCGCATCCAGGACATTGTAATGTTTTTGGTTCTTGAGCTGGAACGAGTGCTCGAGCGAGATCGACCACGCAGTACCCTGTTTGAATGGAGCGGGCTAAGTGCCGACGTGCAGTGACCTCTGAGGCGAAGACCGTTTCGCAAAAGATGCACAAGTTGGTCGGGTTAAAGAACGACGTGATGTTGACTAGGGCGTGTACACAGCTCCTGGGTTCAGGATGGGCCTGGCCAGGGAGCAGTGGACAAATTTCGTCGCCCGAGTGGGGAGAGAAAACGGGGAGGATGCGCGATTCACCTGAAAAAGCGCTTGGCAGCTATCTGCCGCGTGCGGAGCGGGCCTTGCAGCATTCCGCGCAGCGCGTCGATATTTCCGGACCCTGACGGCCAAATCGTAGACTTTTCGTGTCCACGCGTCTCTTGGTTTTCCCCTGTTACGGGGGGCGTCTCCCCCAGACAAAGCCGTTCGGCAAAACTACGATACGACCCAGCAGGCGCACCTGACTGTACGCAAGAGTGGTGCTGAGTCTGCGACATTCGCAAATCTGCAACACGTTCGCATTGCACACGCGGCTACGATATGAATAACCAGCGACGGCCATTTTTGCGCAGACGCCGCACTTGAAAGCATCGAGTTTGCTGCTGTCAGGCACGCTGAGACACAGCGTATGGAGGTTATGGAGGTAATACACTAATTTAGCTTCGATGCAGGCTCCAAAGATGGCAACCTATTTAAGGCAGAGGCAGACGAGCGTGGTGCCAGAGTTTGCAGAGTGTGTAAGAATCTTTGTCCGCCATGCCAATCCTCGTGCTCAGCGCTGCGCTGTCGGAGCCCGAAGAATCCAGAAGGCCTCCGAGGTATAGCATGCTGTCCTTCTGCGGGGTCGGTGCATCGTCGGGCCTGCGAATGTCGGTTTCGAAGCGCACTGGCAGAGCTTCCACCTTGTCCCAAGTAAAAACAAACCATAGTTGTTGCCTTGTCTCTTACATTACCTAGATCAGCGCACCAACGAATCCAGCCGTCGACCCGACCAGCAGAGTGCCGTCCGCTTAGATGAGCTCGCTGACGGAGCAAAATAAAACAATGCGTGGGGGAGAAGAGTTCTCTAAACAAAGATCGAGGTAATATGGTTGAGGGCGTCGTGTGTGTGTGTGTGCCCACAGCCGCGCTATTTCCTGGCCGGTTTTCTGGCTCCTCTAATGTGTTCGACAGGCGTGCAAGTCTCTTTCTTCGCTCTGCGTACGCAGTCAGTCGCATGCTGCCTCCCGTCGACAACGCCTGGTGGTCCTTATCATCAGCGCGCCCCGCTAATTTCTTCGCTGAATTGGACAAAACAGCCGGGACGCAAAAAACACACACACACAAAAGGAACAAATGTGTGTGCCCGGGCATTAGTGTGGAACTCGGTAATGGTGTAGGGGAGGGTATCAGGACGTCGTATAGATAAGAGGGTGGGACATGGCGAAATAAAGGTGTGTGACCAGGGGCTGTTGTGGAAATCGGAAGTGGACTAGGGGAGGGCACAGCGAAATGCGTGGAGTAGGCGCAGTAGTGGCTGCGTCCATGACCGAATGAGCGCCAGAGTTACGAACCTGTATAGATCGCAGCCATGCGGGAAATGATGGCTGATGTCCGATGCGCGTTGGAGTTGCATCCCGCAAGACTGCGACCGAACAGTGCGAAAAAGCTGTATCATCGGGTGGTAGTGTACTGCGTAGTCGCGTGGCAAAGCGGAACTGTATGGCGGCATGCACTGCATCAATCAACTACCGTGAACTCTGGTTAGATTGCCGATGCCGTCGACAGTGGACCCAAAGAGCGGCAATAGTTGAATGAATATCCCATGGGCTGAGCGCGGGCGAAGCGATAAGTGCACTGTGAAGCGATGGGGGCAAAGCTGCGCGCTGCCACCTACTGGCTCGTGAATCAATGAAGGAGGCGGGAGGAGGGAAGAGGGAGAGAGATAGCGGTGAGGGCGGGGAAGAAGAGAGGGAAGGTGGAGCAGAAGGGGAACCTGCACGAGGCGCAGGTGCAGGCACGAGAGGAAGAACCAGATGCAAGCACACATAGCGAAGGCCACAAAAACTGCGGGAAGACACGCAGGCCTGACGGAGCGCAGGAAGCGGATCACTCGGAGCACTCGAAATATCCGCAGTCCAGCCGCCTGGCAGGTCGTTTAATGAATAGGCCGTAGATAACAAGGGCGTTCGGCGCTGAGCAGCGTTCAACGGCCCACCTCCGCCTGCCGTCTGCGCACACCCCGCTCGTTACTCTTCCTGCCGCCTATCACTCAGTTCGTCAAGGTCGATACCAAAACTCCGCGACGCGCTGACGGGAAAAAACAAAGGCCTGCGACCACAAGCTGGAGCTCATCTCCTGAGAGATGCTGGCGAAGAAGTCCACCAGCATCAGCAGCACCTGCAGAGGGCCGCGGAATGGGAAGAAACGCTGCCCACTGCTCTTTCCGGAGAGGCACTCCAAGCTCCAGAACGAGCGCCCGTGGGGACGTCTCGGCGGCGAGCCCAGGGAGGAAGTGAGAAGGGGCGGGCCTTCTCAAAGGCTCGGAAGTCCCCCGGCCCTCTGAGAGGTTCTCTGAGCCTCCCCCGAAAACACACCAAAACACTTCTCAGAAGCCGCGAAGGCTTCTGAGAAGCCCCGCCGCCTTCTGAGAAGGCCTTCTCCTTCTCACTTCCCCCCCTCGCTCGCCGCCGAAAACGAGCGCCCATGGGGGGCACCATCCCCGCGGACGGCCCCGAAAATCGACCCCGCGCCGCGGACGACCACCGCCGCGCGACCACCAGGGCGCCAGACCCCGCGGCGCGCGGTGCGCCGCCGTGGCGAGGGTTTGGTCCCTCCCGGCGGGAGGTACGCACCCCCCCCCCCCCCCGACGGTCCTCGAGAAACGCAGGGTGGGCCATTTCGCCCACGAGGGCAAAACGGAAAATGTAAGTCGGGCGTGTCCCTCTACAGGAAGAATCCGCCGGACCCCTTTACGGGGCCATCAGGCTGCGAAGATTAGGCTCTCATGTTCCCTGCACCAGTTCCAGTTCCAATTCTCCAGTGTTACAGTCCTGCTTTCTGCCTCCTACTGTAAACTGTCACTGAACGCGCGAGGGGGGGAGCCCCAAACCAGCCTTTTTACCACGCCCAGATCGCGTTGTCTGAATGTCGGGGTGGGCGTGGGACACGTAAAAATACATGATGTTCGCGTCCCCGAAGCAATAATCCTAACTAAAGTACACCAAGTTCGCGTCTCCGAAACCATAGACCCTCGTAAATTACATTGTACTCGCGCCCCCGAAGCCATAAACCCACATAAATTATGCAAGATCGCTCCCGAAGCCATAAACCCTCGTAAGTTACACAATGTTCGCGCCCCCGCGGTGATAAACCGTTGTAAGTTACACCAGGCTTGCGTCCCCGAGGCCAGAAACCATCGCAATGTATACAATATTCGCATCCCCGAGGCTACAAATCCTTGCAAATTACCCGATATTCGCACCCCCGAAGCCATAAACCTTCGTAAGTTACGCAATGTGTACGTCCTAGAGGCCACAAACCTTCGTATGTGTTTACCATATTCGCGTTCCCGAAACCATACACCCTCGTAAATTACCAACTATTCGCGCCACCGAAACCATAAACCCTTGTAGATTGCATAAGATTCGCGTTCCCGAGGCAATAAACCCTGGGATATCACGCCATATCTACTTATTCGATACTATAAACCCTGGCAAGCGACTTACTTGTTGCGTCCCCGACGCCATACAACCTACGATATTACTCAATAGTTGCGACCCCGAGGCTATGAACCCTGGTAAGTTACGCAATAGTCGAACCTCCGAAGACATAAGCCATCGCAATTTCGCAATATTCGCGTCCCCGAAACCAGAAATCCTTATAAAAATAATTGCGATCGCGCCCCCGAGGCCATAAATCCACGTCAATTACTAATAGTTGCGTCCCCGAGGCCACAAAAATTCATAAGTTACGCAAGTTGTACGCCCCAGACGCCACAAACCCTCGTAGATGCAACCTTCTTCGCGACCCCGTTGCCAGAAACCCTCGCAAATTACTGAATATTCGCGCCACCGAAGCCATAAACCCTTTTGTAAATTACATAATATTCGCGTTCCCGAGGCGATATAACCTCGTACATCACGCAATGTTTGTTTAGTCGAAACCAGACACCTTGGTGCATTACTTAATAGTTGCGCCCCCGAGGCCACTACACCTAGTCAATTATGCAATATTTGCGTCCCCGAGGCCATAAACCTTGATAAATTGCACGAAATTCGAATATCCGAAGAAATAAGCCTTCGCAACTTCGCAATACTCGCGTCCCCGAAGCCATAAACATCCATAAATGATGTTACGTTCGCGCCCCCGAGGCCACGACCCCTCATAAATTACGCCACGTTCGCGGAGATGCCGATTTGTCCGAGAGCCACGAGTGAACGGACCGAACAACAAGGCAAGGTCCGATGGCCCCCTTGAAAAACATCAAGCTGCGCAGATTACGTTTGCATCTGCGATTGTCGCTCCATCCAAACTCATCGCTTGCGATCACGATCGTCAGCAGGTTCGTAATGCGAACCATCAGAGTTCGAACGCAGTTCTTCAGGCTTGCAGTGCAAACCGTACAGTAAGAGATTCGCCCTCGCGAGAAGCCCCGACATTGCTTCACGTCAGCGGCGTCCAGAACTCCCAACACAGCGCTGGCAAGTCCCATTCTAAGAGAGGGGGGCCGGCGGCCGGACGCGAAGCCCTGACGGTTATTCGAAAAGTGTCCGGAAAATAATCTGGAGACGATGTTTAAACTTGTTTTACAAATCTCAACATGTTTCTATGTTTTGAATATGTCGTATTTGGCTTCCAAAATCTGCCTGAGGGAAGACATGCCCGACCTAAACCGAGAAGGAGAAGTGAGAAGAGAGCTCCGAGAGGGGGGGCCTCGGGAAGACCTCTGCTGGAGATTCAGGACCGAAAATGGCTCCCTCGACGGATACCTCGGCTGGCGGACGAGGCGGGCGGGAGGGCCCCGTACGCAGCGAGCGAGGCCGTCAGATGCTCTGGGCGGCGAGGGTGCTCTGGAGCACCCGCCTCCTCCTCGTCCACCCTTCCTCCTCGTCCTCCTCATCCTCCTCCTCCTCCTCCTTCTCCTCCTCCTCCTCCTCCTCCTGCTCCTGCTCCTCCTCCTCCTCCTCCCCGAAAACCCTGGCACACTGCCGGGGGAATCACACATCCGAAAACGCAGGTATCTTTCTCCACACGCACACATACACTTTTTGCGTCGGCGGCTGGGCAGAGGTTGCTACTCTAGCGATCGAAAGATCAACAAACACACACACACACACACACACACACACACACACACACACACGCTTGTAACGGTGCTGCACACGCATCTCAACAGACACGATGCATGTCCCACGAATTGTTTCTCTCTTTTCTTGGATCCAGGTGTACAAAGCAACTGATGCTGGCCATCAGCAGCTTGAATGTCATAAATGGAGTGTCTACGCTGAAATACAATCCGCTATCGGCCAGCTTCTACGACAGATTGCAGGACATCGCACAGGTCACCGAGGGCTTTGATGTGGTGTGTCTCACAGGTACGGGCGCTCGTAAGTATGGGAAAGAGGACATCATCTGGAGGAGGGCGAGCAAGCGATGGGCAGTGGAAGCTGGGTGGGCGCGAACCCCAGGCAGAAATAGGAGTTCGGACTGCACGATCATCTTGGGGCCGCGGATTCGACGTAGCACGGCGACGCACACCTGATCCACGCCATCCCACATAGCAGGCAGAGGAGTTGCAGTTAGGGCTTGGTACAGTCAGTACGATATTGGTGTGGCCAATGAGCACGTCCCCGTTCCACTTTCTCGGGCTTCGAAATGTCCAAGCTATGGAAAAACATGTGATCCGATCGGTAATTGGATCCGACGGCTTCCATTCCTAGCAGCGTCCAAATGTTTCCCCAGCATTGCCATGGACTTAAATTCTGGATTCGGGCTTCACGTGCTGGCAGGTAGTGAAGATTGGACGCGCGTACATGATGACCGACTTGGGACCCAGGTTCCTCCAGTGCGCCAACGAGATGCTGCTGATGTTATGATATCTATCATTCAAGCCTTAGACCTCGTCCCTGCTTCTATGCATATGGGCACTGGCCCTACATATTATAGAAGCAAGGGATCAGCATCGAGAGATTGGACTACGCATTCCTTCCAAAGTGCGCACTCGAGCAGGTCACCTCCGCAGGCCCACTGGGGAAACTTGCAAGGCAGCTGCAGCTCATCGGACATCGTGAGGACCGAGATCACCTCCCGTGGCACGGCAGTTTAGCGCACTCGCTGGCGGGCACCGCCACCACAGGGGCCACGGGGCCCCCGGAAGATCCCAGAGTAGGCTTTCTACCTCGGCACGTGCGCTGGAATCGAGAGGATCGCATGGACAGCTTCCGTGTGGGCACTGGGCGAGCAGCGTTTCTAAACGACCTAGAGACTACGATGATTCGAGTGGCAGCAACGCCGTCGTGATGAACAAACCCCCAACGCTGAATGGGGATACTTTATTTCAGCCATCAGACTTGTTGCAGAAAACACTTCACTGGCAATCTGCAGAGAACCCTGAGTACCCCGAGCAGCCGCAACGAGTTCTCACCCTTCTTTCGCAACGGCGGCCAACTTCGGCAAAACCTTTCTCGCCACTGTACAGATGAGGATACGCCAACCATGTCTGGAGAAATGCGAATAATGCCTAAGCAGCTTCGAGCGCAGCGTCGGCAATAGATCAAGCATTGGCGAAATGATATCACCGAGGAGATAAACAAGAAGATGCGACTCGGCAGGCAGGCCGAAGTGGTCAAACTATCTAAGCTTCCCTCTGCACGGGGGACAGCGCCCATGAAGAGAACCGATCGACGTCCCCAAACGGCTCTCCCCAAAAGCAAAGAGCTGCAGGATGGATGGCTCCTTCCAGCAGCGCAGGGAGGTATGGAGGCGGAGGTGGTGGAATGGACGGACTATGCCAATGAATACTTATACCACGCAGAACACGGACAGGAAGCACAGTTTTCTTGGGAGAATATTCGGAGGAGGGATTCCAGAGGGCCAGAAGGAAGTTCAAACAGATACGGCAGTATCCTTGGAAGGCTGGGAGGAGGAGGTCTGCGCCAGAAAGACCGTTTCAAATGGAGCTCTTCTGGGCGATCTTTTTCCCATACAAGAGAGCGTCCAAACGCTTCCAAAGGGTCGGGTATGATTCGCCGTTCATCAACCTCAAGACTGTCCGTGGATTTTCCGTCTCTGCTATGCACGGAGTACAGCGTGCTAGGCAAGTCCATCTTGTCTGGCATCTCTCGCATACTGCTGTACTCTCATGGAAGCGAGTAGTGCATGTGCTCTGCACTTTTGGC